TAACCATGTTTCAAAAATGGAGGCTAAAAGCTTTGCATTTAATTTTGTAATTAAATTAAAGACGTTAGTTCCATTTCATCGTCAAGCGAATTTTTTCTAATTATATATATATATTTAAACAAATAAATAGCTATATAGATAAGTAGGGAGATAGCTGACTAGATTGATGAGGTAGATAGATGTCAAGAATTAGTTTCACACACACACATATATATATATATATAATTAGATAGATGTGAAGGCTTATATACATAGATAGATGTCAAGAATTTGTTCACTATATATATATATAATTAGATATTTAGTTGAATAGGCAGATAGATAGAAGTTAACACTGAGATAGATAGATAGACAGATTTTTATATATATATATATATATATATATATATATATAGAGAGAGAGAGAGAGAGAGAGAGAGAGAGAGAGAGAGAGAGATAGATTATAACTTTTAGAATTTCTGTTACATTCTCCTCAGCTAAAAAGCAAAATAAATGTTCATCATTTATATATGTGTGATACATACGTGTGCATGTGTGTATATGTGCGTGTTTGTGTTGCTCCAAATATTCTGTAACCCCTTGCGTCCTAGTGGCTTCCCGCCTTGCTTGGGGTGAAACGCTTAAAAAAAATCCAAAGAAAAATTATTGGTCCTGACCTAGCGTCTCGGCTTCAGGTTGGGGTTGGTTGGGTTTTATGGCATATCAACCACTGTAGGTCATTTAATGCCAAATTAAGTTATATATATATATATATATATAACATATGGATAAAATAGATACTTTTGTCTCCATCACATGCATTGAGAATGCATATAGATATATTACTTGCGAAAAAATGCACTTCCTCCTTCTGTCTCTCTCTCTCTCTTACAAATACTTACACACATACACACACACACATACACACAAGTTAACACACGCATACATATATATAGATATGTCTATCGAGATGTATATTGAAATGTATGTAGCTGTGTGAGTACTTGCTTGGTTTTCAATATATATGTGTTAAATAGTCTCACCAAGTCGCAGTTGACTAAGCATGCTGAGTATGACTACAAAAGACATATTTTAAGCAAGACATTTTTCCTCCAGTAGGAGTGAGTAGACCCTGGATCTGAATATGGATCGGGACTTCAGCGCTGAATGGTGACTGATAGTGATCATCAAACGAAATGTTTTATATATATATATATATATATATATATATATATATATATATATATAAAAGTGAATATAGAAGTCAACACTTAGAGGCGACTGTCTGTTTCATGCTATATGCAATCGTCAGGCCACATATGCTGTTATTTTTCTCGGCTATTTATATATATATACGGGTTAGTGGTGCATTGTGGGTATTCTATTATGGCGGTTATTTTACCGGAAGTCCTTTGGGTCAAATTATATTGCTCGTTTTTATTTCTTATTTTATTTATTTATTATATATATTTATATATTTTATTTATTTATTATATTATATTATTTGACCCAAATAAATAAACAAACCACAATGCACCACTAACCCGTATATATATAAATAGCATATGTGGCCTGACGATTGCATATAGCATGAAACAGACTGTCGCCTCTAAGTGTTGACTTCTATGTTCACTTTTATATTTACACACGCTCTATCTCTGATATTGAGCACTTGAACTGATCTGCTATATTCCATAAATATAGTACCTTAAGACTATATTTTTATATATATATATATATATATATATATATATATATATATATATATATATATATATATATATATATATATATATATATATATATATATATATATACAAATAAAGAGAAAGAACAGACAGATCGACAGTTAGCATTTCAGTCAATTACGAGCCATGCATGATACACGCTTAGGCGATCATATATCTTTTGATACATGACTGACGAGGCAGATTTTTCCCCGCAGTATGTTGCCATTTCATTCTGCGGTAGACCAGTTGCCATCCAAGGCTATATATATATATATATATATATATATATATATTGAAAAATATACATAATGCCGAACGTGCAATGCACAACTCGGAGTTTCATGCGATCTGCAATGTTCAGGTGCCTCTGAAGATTGCACATCGTATGAAATATATATATATATATATATATATATATATATATATATATATATATATATATGTGTGTGTGTGTGTGTGTGTGTGTGTGTGTTTGTGTACGCATGTATGTGTGTGTTTGTATACGAGCGTTTGGTCGTGCATTTACCTATATTTGATTATATTCACATATGGTGTACTCTCCCGTCGTATTGGATGCATGAGGGTCAAGAAGCTCTGTTCCTAGGAACCAACAATAGACACCAGCACATATGACACACTTTTTGAAGGGCTGAATACTTTGTGTCACAAGATCCCCAAACGACCCTCCGCAGGTTTTGAATTCAAAGTTGTCCTTCTCCTAGACCAGCTGACATCCAGAACCCAATGTATCCTGCTATTTGCCCATAGCTTGAGAGGAAAGAAAAGGATTAATACTTTTACCAAGGGTATTAGCACGTAAGTGAATGTAATGGACTCAACTGGAAATTGAACTCGGCTTCCTCAATCTGAGCCGCTATCCACAACTCCACCGTGCCACACACACACACACACACACACACACATATATATATATATATATATATAAAGAGTGTTCAATACAAAGTAGAGCAAATATAATTTATTCATAAATTATAACATAAATATGTTATAAAATCAGTACAAAATAGCCATTTTGTTTCAACACTTCCTGTGTCTTATCAAGTGATGGTGTTGAATGTAGAAATGTTGAATGTGGAATGAAACAAAATGGCTATTTTTGTAGTGATTTTCTAACATATTTATGTTATAATTTATGAATAAATTATATTTGCTCTACTTTTGTATTGAACACTTTTTAAGAGTAGTATTTGTTTGTTATTGGAATTTATTCTGTATACACCAACTTATACTTATGAATATATATATATATATATATATATATATATATATATATATATATATATATATATATATTGAAATTGTAAAATCAAGAAAGCTTGGTGAATAAATACCAAAACTGTGCTTGGAGGAGAAAATAGCTATAATTACCTTCCAATACCAACCCAAACTACTAAATAAACGTTCAGAACTGATCTCAAAATGCAGATACAAAAACATTTTTTTACTACGTTACTTAAAACTCGAAAACTGAAAACGAGCAAGAATGAACAAAAATAGGTAAATAAAATGAAATAAATAAACAAGATTAGAAAAATAAATTAATTCAATCCAATAAGTAAATAGATTAAGCAAATAAAAAACAAATTAACAAACGAACACATAAACACAAATAAACGTAATAACAACAACCAGCAATAAAATAATCTGCAATAAATAAAAAAAGTTGACAAACAACACTATAAATAGACAAAAACTACATCTGGATCCACAATTATTTCCACTCAATAGCCGCTAGAATAATTCGAAACATAACTGTTTTCGCCCACCAAAATAACCGTTAGAATCGTACAATAGACAACCCACATTGCGAAGAGATTCCAAATCAGCCTCAACTTAGCGCCGCTCGCTCACATATTCCGTGGCGGAACTCAACTGAGTTCTCTGTAACCATAGGACTGTGCCCCCTGGAGGAATCTCTTCGTCACCGAGGCCCATTTGGAACAGTTGGTATGATGTTCGCTTGACAACCTAACTGTCAGGGTTTCAATTCTCGGTAGTGGATGCGCACTGCTGATGAGTCCCAAATATAGGGCGAAACGGCCGTCCAGTGCTTTCTGCATTCTGTTGAGGTTTCTATCAGACTCGATGAATTAATTAAATATAATTATCAAATCCTCCTACTAATTACTATATATATATATATATATATATATATATATATATATATATATGTGTGTGTGTGTGTGTGTAATGAAAATGTAATATCCATATAACCACTTGACGATGGCTCATGTGAGCTGAAGGCTTAATCGAGGAACAGCATGATAAAAAATATCCAAATGTTGACAATTTTGTCTTTATTTTCTCCCGAAACTAAAACCATTATATATTTAGAACGGCTCATGATCAAACATAATAGACATTCGTTCTCTGTCATATTTAATAATATATATTTTTATAATGATCTTCTGCCCCAATACACTATATATATATATATATATATATATATATATATATATATATATATATATATATATATATATATATATATTAGTGGAAAATATACATACATATGCAAAATATATAAATATAAATACCCATATATGTATATTTTTAGAAAAAAAAATTCCAAGAGGAAGAATCCAGGTAGAACTCAATGTCTAGGACAGAGTAAGGATATAATAAAAGGTTTAAACATTAATATTCCATGGTCATAATTTATTCCATTGGAATCGTAAATACGATCCAATTCATCAGACCTACAAATCAAAAAAAAAGAAAACAGAAAAAAACAACTCCGGAAATAAAAAACAGAATTTAGAGAGAGTAAGTATGGAGGAGGAGGAGATTAAACCTTAACAGAGAGAATTTTAGGAGAGATGGGTGGAAGGGTTTAATTAAGAGGAAAAAAATTATATATATATATATATATATATATATATATATATATTATTGTACATTTTCCTGTTTTAATTTTGAATCTCCTGTGGAAGCCTGAAGAGCGGGATGAAACCGGTTGCTTCCCCCCTTGTTGTTGTGTTTTTTTTATTATTTAATATTGTTTTAATATGTCATGTAGTATTAAATTTTATACTTTTATTTCGATCATTAAGTTTTGTACCTACATAATATATATATATATATATATATATATAAATTTGATGCACAGAGGAGAAAACATAACAAGAAATCATATTGTATATCACATAAATTTTAAAAAATGAGTTGCAGGTATGAAGCATAAAAACAAACAACCCCACATGAATAAAATTAAATCAAATTTAGGACCTAATATACTAAATATATTTACAAAAAGAAGCACAAACCGCGATGTTAACACGCAAAACACGATATCTGAATAAAACGGACGATGTAGCAAAATCAAGTCTTTGTTAATGGTTACCGCTAGAGAAATATATACAAACATAGGCAAGTATATTTAAAAAAATATATATATATATATATATATATATATATATATATATATATATATATATATATATATATATATATATCAAATATGTGGTGCAGTTCAATTTATATCACAATGAATCCTTCATACAAAAAAGTACAAAAGTACATTAGTAATGTAAATGATATAAAATGGAGAAATCCCTTTGCTAACAAAATTTTTAATTCATAATTTTAAAAAATAAGGATCATAAGTGCGCAGGTATGCAGAAAATAAAAAAAGAACACGTTGGGTGCATAATCCGGAGTTCCTTAGTATTTTGTTTTTATTTTTAAGAAGACAGTGCTCCATATGGAAGTAGAGCTTTATTATAATTTTTTTAATTTTTTATTTTAAACAAAAAAAAAATATATATATATATATATATATATATATATATAAAACTTACTAATTTACTTTTTGTATGAATTAACTTTACTGATTTACTTTTTGTATAAATGATTCATTGTATATATATATATATATATATATATATATATATATATATATATATATATATATATATATATAATAATAATGTTTGCAGTAGGTAGGTTTATACTTATATTACGAGTTATAATGTTTGGTGATAGTTTTAAATTTATAAAATTCATATAAATATTCTAAATGTTATATTTTATTTATTTTTAATTTTTAATGTAATGTTTTGTATAGTTAATTTGTTATTTTGTATGTCCAATGTTTTTACTTCTTAAACAGTGCTTTTTATTTACATACTATGTTTAAGTTTGTTAAATAATATATTGGTTTCTTTCAAAACGACAAACTTAACTGATGCATTTTATCTGAAATATTTTCTACTCTGTTGCAATCATATCCGTTTAAATTTTGAATCTTTCTCTATGACTCCAATCTCAATGTTAACGTTTTGTTCATTGGCTGAATTGTTATCAACAACTTCTGGTTTCCTTTCTTCTTTTCTTTTTCTTTTTCCCTTTTATTTTCCTTTTTTTTTGTATTAGTTAATTTTGATATATTTCGCCTCTTCGTTTTTCTCTTCTTTCCTTTCCTCTTCCTTTTCTTCGGAGAAAGGATGAATTTTTATGCTTTTCTTTTCGTAACTGTTCCTATTTCTCTTTCTTCTTTCTTTTTTCCGTTTATTGATTTCTTGTCCACTTCTTTTTTTCTGCTTTAACCTGCATATTTTTTCTTTTCCTTTTTTTGGAAATTTTTATATATTTCTTTTCCTTTTATGGAAATTCTTATGTCTTCCTAAATTTTAAAAAATGCAAAAAGAAGAGGTGTTTCATAAGTAGTATTTTTAAATAAAATTGTTTATAACCATCTTTGTTCATCACCTGATGAGGTGCTTATATTAGGCATCGAAACAAATATTAATCTTTGTAGTAATTACTTGTTTGTCAATAGAAATAGAAGTCAGACATCGTTATCTAAATATTTTTGGCATTTAAAAGAAACGAATAAAACACCAAAAGTAAAATGGAAAAAATAAATAGAACAAGAACTCGTAAAACCTGGGATGTCCCATGCCCTTTATGCCTACATAAAAAAATTATTAAGTTTCTAAAAAAAGAAAATTTATTAAATCAAAGACATGAGATAACGTTTTTTTTTGCCGACACCAACAAATATTCGCCTTAAATAATTGGCTTTAATTTTTTTTTAAATTTTAAAGTCAATAAACAAGTCCAATTAAAGCAATAGGTTTAAAAACTTAACACAATCATAAGCTATAAAACCACTTTAAGAAGTCGTCAACAAAAAAGAAAATTGTAGTTCAATACGACATATTCATATACAAACAATCCTTTTGAAAAAATTTTATGTATAAAAATACAAATTTAACGGTGTAACAAACGTGCCAAATACTTTCTGTCGTTGAAATAGACCAGACGATACACGTTGAACGGATGTCATCATTCGTTTGAAAAAAGGCACCACGACTCTACCTTGACTTAACCTCTTTTCGAAAGTAACTAATATGTTGATACAACTATTTTCAGTGAAAATGAATACCCTAACGCCCCTTATTAAAATGATTGTTTTTCTCCATGTCCATAGAAATTAATATTACGAATGTATATGCTTATAAAGTTCCGTAAATTTCAAAATTAGTTATTCCAAAATATTTTAATTTAATTCAATTTCTGTAATTGAATTAGAAGATTTTAGCTCCTTTTTTTTGAAACATGAGAACTCTTATGTAGCGATGGAATAATATTTTTTTAAAATATAATTATAATATAGGCTGTAGTTGTGAATCGAGCACTGTTTTTGAAAAATAAAAATACTAAAGAACTTCGCATTATTGACCTAATAGTTCTTTCCTATTTTTCTATATATTTGCACACACACACACACACATATATATATATATATATCATTGAATATACATAATATCCAACGTCGATAGTATAATCTGACCACAATATAGTATCATATAACGGTCAGATATTTGCACTTGAATATTGCTAGAACTGCATGAAACCCCGAATTTGCTATCGATGTTGGATATTATGTATATATATATATATATATATATATATATATATATATATATATATATATATATATATAAATTAAATACTCAACGCGTTATCGAAAACACGGTTATAAATTATAATTTTTTTCAACGAGTAAGTTTTTAACACATTTTGATCAGACCGAAATTTTACAAATGGTTAAATAGATATAAAAATAAAAGTTGAAATAAATTATAATTTATAAACGTGTTTTTGATGATGCGTTAATATCAAGTGTCTTCCACAATCAGTGCGTGTGTATGTGTGTATATCGCGCGCGTCTCGTATTTCTTTTGTGGCTTTTGAGCGTTTCCGCTTCACGCACTTGTGGGTGTCAGGTTAGATTTTTTGGAGTATCAATATAGTTTGTAGAGTTTGTTCTTATACATGCTTATAGAGATTTTCCAAGCGTAGCGTAGATGTGGTACAAGGCCGAAATTATTGAGCCCCCAGTGAGGATCATACTCGTAATTTTTCTATGGAGACAAGCTTGCTAACCATTACATCACTCCTAGGTTCCTTTTATATTTCCTTTATCTGTCTAATATCATTGCTATTTTCTGACTATATAAACATAGCTGTTTATTTATTGCATATTTATTTTGATTTTTTTTCTTTTTTTTTTAATAATACAATTATTTTTATAGTCATTCTTCTCTTATTTTTCTTCTTATTTCCATGGGGTTTCTGTTGTATACACATTTCCTTCCGGGTCCCAACCAGAGACCTAAGGTTAGAAATGGCTTCATGACATTTTTCACTGATCATTTTTGCAAAAAAAAAAAAAAAAAAAAAAAGAAAAGAAAAAAAAAAGATCACACACATTTTACATAAAGCTCTTCGTAATGTGTGTGTAGTTGTACTTGTGAGTACAATTTATTGTATTTCTTGGGCTACTAGGAATCCCTTCAATGAGTCTACTGAAATCTTTTCCATTCAATCCGAGGGCTCCAACTACAACTGGAATTGTTGATGTCCTCATGCGCCATATTTCTGAGATTTCCACTCCAAGATCCTTCTGTTTTAATAGTTTATTATTATTATTATTATTATTATTATTATTATTATTATTATTTCTTTGGATTTCTGTTGTATACATATTTCTTTCCGGGTCCCAACCAGACACCTAAGCTCAGAAAAGTCTTCATGACATTTTCCACTGATCATTTAAAATAAAGTAAGATCACACACGTTTTACATATGTAAAGCTCTTCGTAATGCGTGATTTCTACTTGTGAGTACAATATTTTGTATTTCTTTAAGTCATGGTCTACCAGGATTCCCTTAAATGAGTCTATCGGAACCTTTTCTAATCAATCCGACATTATTATTATTATTATTATTATTATTTGATTTTGGGTGTATACTCATTTCTTTCCGGGTCCCAAAATTAGAGACTTACGGTCAAAATGGCATCCACTGATCATGTTTTGAGGAAAAAAAAGAAAAAAAGAACGGAACAAAAATACCAAAGATCACATATTTTACATACATAAAGCCCTTCGTAAGGTGTAGGTTGTACTTGTGAGTACAATTTTTTGTATTTCTTTAAGGCATCGGCTACCAGGAATGCCTTCAATGAGTCTATCTGAATCTTTTCCAATCAATCCGAGAGCTCCAACTACAACTGGAATTACTGAAGTCCTCATGTGCCACATTTTTTAGATTTCCACTTCAAGGTCGTTGTATTTTCATAGCTTTTTGAAGATCTTCAAAGATACTTTACAGTCTGCAGGGATTGTTAGGTCAATGAGGAGGCACATTTTGTTTTTGTGATCTCTGGGCGATTAGCTTTGTTGTTCTGTTTGTGTGTATTGTAAAGTCCCATAAAATTGTTAAAGGCCCTATCACCGTAACCAGGTTTAGGTGATGTTCATAACAATTTCTTGCGGTTTCTTTTCCCTAAAAGTTGCATATTTTTCAATGCTGATATTGGCCCACTTTGTCATGCCGTGTTTACTGAACTGTTACGTGACATCTGTCCTTCTTTACGGCAGCGAATTGTGGATGATTGCCTCAAAAATGAAAAGAGACTCGAGGCGACGGAGATGTGATTCTACAGAAGGATATCATTGACCGAGTGTGTGACCAACGATGAGATGTTAGAGAGGTTGTGAACAAGGAGGAGGCTTATACTTAATATCAGGAAGAGGCAGATGAAGTTTCTGGGACACATAATGAGGAAGAAGGGCCTGGAGAATCTGATACTCACAGGTCGAATAGAGGGAAAGAGAGACAATGGAAAACAACGCGCGACCTACCTGGCGAACTTAAGCAAGTGGATGACAGAATATGGTCTGGGGGAGGTGGCAAAGGGAAGGAACTTGTTGAGAGCTGCAAGGGATAGGAGGAGGTGGAGAGCCATAATCACCTACGTCCTGAAAGGACATGGTACATACAAAGAAAGAAAAGAAGGGTTTCAATACCGTG